AGATACTTACGAACCTTTCTGCGAAATAATAAGGAAAAACTTTAAATGGCCTTCAATTAAATTTAAAAGATGCTTGATAAAATTAATTGATGTAGTCAACAAAACAGAAATAGCAGAGGTAATTCAAAATTACCATGAGAGCAAGACAAATCACCGAGGAATCGAAGAAACCGAGCGACGAATTAAGGAAAAATATTATTGGCCCAACCTGAAAGAATCCATTCAATCATTTATCAATGAATGTGAAATTTGCCAACGTAGCAAATATGAACGTCACCCAATAAATATGGAAATGAACATCACGCCTTCTGCAACAAAACCATTTGACATCATCCACCTTGATACATATACTCTCGATAAGGTTAAATTTCTTACTATAATAGACAGTTTTTCTAAATATGCCCAAGCTTATGCCCTTACATCTTTATCCGCTACCGAAATATGTGATAATCTCATATCCTTCTTTTCACATCATGGCATTCCATCAAAGATAATCACAGACAATGGAACTGAGTTCAAGAATACTGTTCTTACTGAACTACTTCAACTTCACAAAGTAAAAATACATTTTTGTTCTCCTGAACATCCCCAATCTAATGGTGTTATAGAGAGGCTCCACTCAACCTTATCTGAACACATAAGAATTTTCAACAATCAAGGATTCCTAAAAACGCCAATTACCCAAAAAATTAAATATGCAATCTTAGCATACAATCATACGATCCACTCTGTAACCAAACACAAGCCCATTGACATAATCACAGGACACATAAGTCCCAATGACCCATTCGATCTTAAGTTAGATCAACTCCTAATTACAGATTACGTCAACGAGCACAAAAATAAAACAAAACTCTTGTATTCCAACATAAATGAACGTCTTATGGATACAAAAAATAAAATAATTGGCAAAATCAATGAAAATCGTGATAAGCCAACATTATTTAGACCAGAACAGAAAATATATGTAAAGAAACATACACGCCAAAACTTAGGAGACAAACTTCGACCAGCCACACAAATAGAGACCGTTGACCTCACACGGAAAACAATAACAACGGACACTCTAGGCAAAGTGCATATGGACAATATTAAACGTCCTCTAAGAAACAAATTAGTTTCGATACTTAAGTTAATTTTAATGAATAGGTAATAAGAATAATAATATTGGTACTAATAAATATGAATATGATAACCTCACGCTTACGCTTACTAATCTTTATTTCAGCTTTATAACCCACGCATTAGGAAACCAAGAGCAAATCTCCATAAGAAAATTGGACGATAATCCTGGAATTATCCCAGTGAAACTTGGAAATGCAAAAATTAGAGACTACACCTACACATTGATACACTACTATGACCTAAATCCCATACTTATCGAAATTAACAAACTACACTCTAAATCCAATAATATCACTAACATGCTTAATGGACACAAAGAGTATTCTGAAGATATTAGTAATTATATCAAATTAATTCAACTAATACAAATTAGAGTAGATAACAAAATTAAAGAAATAATTCCTCAGCCACAAAGAACAAAAAGAGGCTTGATTAACGGCCTAGGGTCAATTTTCAAATGCGTAACCGGAAACCTCGACGCTGACGATGGCGAACGTTATGAAAATCTTATAAGGGAATTGCAAGGAAATCAAAAGAATTTGCAAGCAAATATTTTGAAACAAAATTCACTTTCTTTAACTGTTATTGAAAAATTCAATACGACGATAAAACAAATAAATTATAATGAGAAACTCTTAGAATCAAAAATCAATCAAATCGCACACATAGTAGAGAAATCTGCTTATAGAGAAAATTCTCTTTATATTAAGGACATAATTAATCAAATTATTAATGTCTATGAAATAATAGATTCAATATTACAAGATGTCGAAAACTCTTTAACTTTTTCCAAGTTAAAAATTATGCATCCTAGCATAATGAGAACTGAACATCTCTGTACAGAACTTATCAAATTACAAAAACAACTAAGTAATGAACAAATGCCTTTAGCAGTTAATGTTGAGAACATTCTTTTGTATGAAAAAATCATCAAATTAGAATCATTTATTCTTAACAATAAAATAACTTATTTGGTCCATATACCTATAATGTATCCTGAATCTTTCGATTATTTCCACCTATATTCAATACCAATCAAAAGTCAGAGTCAGTTTAAGGTAGTCCTTCCACAAAATAAATATCTTCTAAAAAACGGATTGCACTACGCACATTATGGCCAAGAATGCCAGGAAATCCTTCCTGAATTCCACATATGCGAAAAAGAAGAACTCCACGAACTTCAAGACAGCAGTCCATGTGAAGTAAAGCTACTGAACTCTGAAAAAGACACTTCTACTTGCAAGCCAACTGAAGTCAAAATCACACAACCAATAATCAATCGATTGGACAAATCCAATCAATGGGTATTTGTACTTCCGGCTAAAGTACCTATAAAACTCAAGTGCTTTGGACAAGAAGAAATCAGAAAAGTTATTGGAACCCTTCTAGTTCGTATACCAACCAGTTGCCAAATAACTATCTCTTCGAGACTGATTATCAACGAAAAGAAGCCTCTGAAATCAGATGCACAACCTATACTATTTCCTGACCTTCCAAATGTATCTGAATTAATGCATTCCCTGAATTTAGGTACACACTTGAAAACCATAAAACTGGACAATCTCCACCAACTAGCTAATGAGATTGTAGAAAACCGTTTGACGTTTAGTGAAATCAGAAGACTACCAAGTTTGGGAACCATTCTGATATATGCTATGATCCTTGCTGGGTGTGCTGTTCTTGGCTATAAGAAACTAGCACCGAAGTTGAAGAAACGAAGAGGGGACAACCACCCCGAAGAAGAAGCCCGACCAATCCAACTTCCTCGCTTAGCATGAAGTTGTATCTCAAGAAGGGAGGAGTAATGTCAGCTCTATTTGCTGACCATTCATATAAACTGCTTAATTCGCTTTTCTTTATTATAAATATCGCTGCCCGCCTAGAATGGTCAGTCAGTTGAATTGTAATTATATTTCTTATTTGAAACTTTGTAACGCGAACGCGAAAGTATTTCTCTATTGTAATTTAGTGAATAAATTGTTTTTTTAAAAACTTGTTATCGGCCTACGTATTGATAACTCACTGTATTTTTTTATAGTGGATCCAACATGCAAACACTTGAACAAACTGTAAATGTTGACTTGTGTAGATATTCTGAATGGTTATTGCATAACAAACTAAAACTTAATGCAGAAAAAACTATATATTTAGTATTCCAACAAAAAAATACAGAACATTATAAATTTGAAATAAATATCAATAATATGCAGATATCTCAAGTTCACTCAACCAAATATCTAGGTCTTATAGTTGATGATAAACTTAATTGGGGAAATCATATTGACAGTTTGGTTAAAAAAATCATCCCCATGTTGGGAGCATTGTATAGATGTACAAAATATTTAAATACCAGAAATCGCTGCTCAATTTACTATGCATACATTCTGTCAAACTTGAGATACCTTATAAATGTTTGGGGTACATGTGGTGTGACTTCTTTCAACAGAGTACAGGTACTACAAAATAGAGCGGTTAAGGTCCTGTTTCAAATGCCTTATCGTACCTCCTCAGAGTTATTGTACCCACATCTTTCGTTACAGCCAATAAGATATGTGTTAGAGTTAGAACAATGCAAACACATTTATAAGATTTTATTTTGCAATCTCAAAAGTAATTCTAGTCTAAAAACAAACAGTGAACTGTATGAGTACAAAACAAGAGGAAATCGTAATTTACATGTCAGTAGCATAAGAACAAATAAAGCACTTTATAATCCATTGACCAGAGCAGTACTTATGTATAACCAGGTACCGATTCATGTCAGAGAAGCTTCAACATTTGAAATATTTTTGAACAGACTCGAGGAGTTTTTAAACACAAAAATGTATTTCTGAAAAAAATAAATAATAGTAATGATGAATAAATTGAAAAAAAAAATAAATAAATAAATGAAAATGATAATAATAAAAAAAAAAAAAAAACAAAAAAAAACAAAACAAAAATTAAAAAAAAATTCTAAATTAGATTAGTTTGAAGCCAAAATAAACGTACAAATAAATGTGATTGTTGCGAATGTTTTTATTTACATAAGTGTTTTTTTACTGTATAACTTTGGTAATTTTAAGGTTTTATTAGTCTGAATATTGTGTAGTCTGAATCAAATTATATCTTGCTCCGTTACCAGCGCAGCGTTTAGCTGTTTAGGAGCGAATAACAAAGTACATAGCTTAACTTGTGCCTTAGATTATATGAAAAAAACAAAAATTGTAATTTGTTATTTAATAAATAAAAAAAAAAAAAAAAATTCCATATTCCCATTGTCAGTTTTTCTTCTCTACAAGATGGCGGTATTAAATTTGAAATCCAACGTTTTGTTCCTCTGGAATCATAATCAATTTATTTTTTTTAAATAAGGGCCTGCTTTTTTTAATGTGTTATTAAATAATTATATAAAAAAAATCGCAAATAAAAAATCAAGGTCTGTATTTAAAAAAAGGAAGTTCAGGATGGCCGCCTGAAGACGAAACGTCGAATTTTAAATTTAGCAGCACCATCTTCTAAAGGGGAAAAAGTGACAATGATGAAGTGATATTTATTTTAAAATTACTCTTCAAATAAGCCTATTAGGAAAAAATAAAAACGATTTTACAAAATTTCGGTTTTTTCCCAATATCTCCGGAAGTATTCGCAATCTTTCTAGTTTCCAAACGGCATTCTATTGGTCATAAAATTGCGCAGCTTTGCCATAATCTCTTACGGTTACCGAGATCCCAATGATGAGGCTCGAATTTGGGCCACCCTATACACCAAAATTCTAAGGTGGTTTCCCCCTCAAAGCTTCTGAACCTTTTTTTTCTTTTTTGAAGTTATAATAAAAATTATATACAGACAGGGTGCCAACTAATTCATAGAGACAGTATTGTTATCTTTGGATTTTAATGCAGTTCCGTGGCCGAAAATTTCTGTTTCTTACCTTTATAATCAGGAAAATACATTCTCAAATGTCGATTGGAATAAAGTATCTTTTCCCTGAAGAGATCAAATTTGTTTAGAAACAACACAAAAGAAGCGTCCCGGAAAAACGGATTGTTAACGATTTGTCCAAACAAATTCAAGCTTTCTTCCATCCTATTGACATTAGGATCTTCCTGAAATAAAACAAAATCAATGATAACCTTGAATGAAATCAATTATTAAACTTACAATAAGTGTCATGTCATATCCGCTCAAAGAAATCACAAACAAGACAGCCTTGACGTCATCAAAACAATAAATCCACTTTCTTCTTTGAGATCTTTGCCCTCCAACATCGTACATGTTGATGATCATGTCTTGGATACGAAATTGAGTTTCAATGATGCCCTGAGTGCGCACTCTGGCTCGAAGAACGTCTGTGGGATTTGGCACATATTTTGGATCGCACAGTCGTTCCATGTTTTCAAATAAACTATGGAAGAGTTTGGAAATAAATCAACAGTTTTTGTTAAAATAGCACACGCAGATATTCAGATAAATCGTCAAATAATACAACTTACTATAAAGCAGAATCATTAAGTTCGTACTCATAACCTCTGGCAACAGCCAATCTGACTCCACGATCCGACCAAAGGGCTTGAAGCGAAGCAGAAACATCCGGTAGAACCATAAAACTCATATCGAAGCAGCTTTCGGCTGCCAGAACGTTTCTGGCATGGACTTTGTTCCTTAAATGTTCCAAATTGATCCGGAGCAATCCCATTCCGGCCAAAACGTATTTCATGGACGAGAGGAGATTGTCCAAGACGGTCGGTCGGAAACTGTTGAGTTCGGTACGAGTGAAACCGTCGGCGTGGATTATTTTCATTTGTTTGACCAGGGTGCTTTTGCCACTCTCGCCGGCACCTGGAAAGAACGAATTTTTGAGTTTTGTACACTTAAAAAATGAGGTTTTTGCAAGAAGTTTGAATATTCTTTTTCCTAGATTTTTCAAAATAGTTTCTGATCTTTTTCTCATTTTTTAACAATAATTACATATTGTTCTTTTGAATAAATATTCATTTAACTCGCTTGGTATATGAATAACTATTATTTCTTATATTTCTTAAATTTGGACTCTTCCAATTGATAGAGCCAGTTCAAATTCGTCTAAAACAACTCTAATATTGTAGGATTGGTAATTCTGTATTACCTAGCCGCATTCCAACTCCTATTTGCCTTTCAGATATTATTGGCATTTTCAACAAGTTTTTAACCTAGAAAGCTTTAAATTTGACAACAAAATGATTGGTTGCCCTCCAGCGTAACGTCATACTGAAATGGTCAATAATAATGACATTGTATGTCAAATTACAGACAGTTTTAAGTAGGGATGTACCGGAATTCCGGCGGTACCACTAAATCCGGCCGATCCAGCCTATATCCTCGCAACAGCGATCCGGCCGGAATTTTTGAAAATTTTGAAATAGGTTAAATAATAAATTTATAAGCGGAAAGCAAGAAGAATACTCAGTCAATCTTTATTAAAATTAAAGTTGTAAACCATAACAATATTTTTTTTTAAACATAAACACTCGCATAAACATTAAATTCAGGTATGGATTTCAAAAAACTTCCATACTTTTGACATTTTTAACTTGAACCGAATTTTCGCGACGAACTAATTCCATGATTCCATGATTTCCATGAGCTCAAACGCTTTCGCGAGAAACTCATGACGTCATATTAAACGTAGCTCGCCGGAAGCATGGATGCAAATTCAGCGGTCAAACTCATGACGTCACAATTGAACTATTGATGAACAACATTCGCGAAAATTCGGTTTTAGTTGGATACTCGGTGGGATACACAGAAACACAAAACAACTGTAATAACACTGGACTGAAAATCGTTTATGTTTTACGTGCACAAGCGTTTGAGCCAGATGTCAAAAAACTCGGGGATTCCCCAATTTGCTTGAAGGAAGGCAGCCAAACTTTAGGCGGTTTCTTTTTTTCCATCGAGCTATTCTCCATTATGAGTAAGTCACCTTGATTTCCTATGTACTAGAAAGAGATAGTCTGCTCATCTGTAGGTTCGCCGGTAAAAAAAGAATGTGCCATTTCAAATTATTATTAAATTGCAGAAAACTATCGATCCGGCCGGAATTCCGGCGGTCCGGTCCGGCTAACAGCCGGAATTCACGTTCCGGCCGGATCGGCCAAATACCCGATCCGGTACATCCCTAGTTTTAAGTGTGTTTTACATAATTTCATAAGCGTCGTGGTGTTAAAATTCTTTGGCCTATCTGGCCAATCAAATTTGACACATTTTTCAATGTATTTTTCAATAGTGCAATATAAACGATACCTAACTATTTTGCATACTTGCAAAATCTATTGACATTTTTTCAAATTCAGCATTGTCAAATATGTGTCAAATTTATTTCATATTAAAATGCTCAAAATAATTTCACAAGAGAAAATAAGGTTAATAATAAAATGTTACGATTATTTCGAGAAAAGCAAAACAGCTGCTGAATTCTATTTTTCGAGTCGTGTCGAAATTCGTATCGAATTGTCAAAATAGCGATTCTATTTTTCGATTTTACGATACGTAAAGTTTGTTTTTTATTTAAAGATAATTCCCCAAGTCAAAAATTTAGTAACTATGTTGGCAACACAAGCCTTTTCTTATACATAAAAAATTTGAAAGCATTGACAATTTTACATTGTATTGCCAACATAATGTCATTTTGACTTTTATCTTTAAAAAAAAAAAACAGACTTTATTACACGGTACGTCCGCCCAGACAATTCGACTCGACAGTTATTTTCAGATATATTTGGGGTAGATAGTTTGATTGTAGATGTAAAGCCATTTCTCACACCCAGCAAACAATGTTTTTATTGGACCAAACCCGAAAAAAAGTTACCGCATAAACATATTTATACTGTTAAACTTACTTTTATGGTTACGTTGGATTTATTTTATTTCAAATAAATTAAGTAATTTTACTAACAATTTTTTTTAAAAATATTTTGGAATTGAATCTACTCAAATATTTCACACATTCTGGTAACTCGGCTTTCTGTTTCATTACTCTGTTTTTAATACTTTACCAGAAATTCGAGCAATTGGACTGTATCAAAATAAAAATTTGGGTTTCAATCAAAATAATTAATCAAAGAAATTATCTGTAAATTGAGATACAATTTTATAAAGGCTGGAGTGTTGAAACTACACCAATGAACACGCGATTCTAATATAGTTATTTTCCTAACAAGTGCGCAAAGTGTTACTTTTCCGCACGCAAACACAGTTATACGAACGACGCGAAGCGGAGTTTGGATAAGTGTTTGCGTGCGGAAAAGACACTTTGCGCACGTGTTAGGAACTAAATTTTTCCTACGAGCTTCATATCAGGTAGGTAACAACAAAAATTTAGAAAAAAAAATTATTTGTTCAACTATTTTTAATTAACTTGAAGCGAACCTATGCAGTTATCAAAAAATTACATAACAAAAAAAAAATAACAGAAAATCATCGTCAGAGCCCTTTTTTTAAAACGTTTAAATTTGATGAGAAAGTTTGTAGATTCTTGCATATCAATAGAGAACAAATCTGACAATGTGTCAAAGTTAATTAAATTTGGTGTTTGTATAGATGTTGGCTGATATAGAAACAGAGGAAAAATTTGTCATCATTTGTCAACGTCGACAGGTGCCCTTATTGTTGCTTGACAATTATTTTCACTTTTCGGCACTCAGTGCGGATAAGGCCTGTATCCGCACTGAGTGCGGAAAAGTGTAACTTTGAGAACCGAAATGCGTGCGGAAAAGTACTACTTTGCGCACGCTCGTAGGAAAAATTATTTGCTCAAGAAAAATACTAAAGTGTGTTTTTTTTTAAAGATAAAAGTCAAAATGACATTATGTTGGCAATACAAGGTAAAATTGTCAAGCTTTCAAATTTTTTATGTAAAAAAGGCTTGTGTTGCCAACATAGTTACTAAATTTTTGACTTGGGGAATTATCTTTAAAAAAAAACACACTTTACTTTTACTTTTTTCTTCCAAAAATCTGACATTTTCCATTTTTCTCACGAACCAGCTACTGGTTTCGGCAATCAAAGGTTGTCTAAGGAAGAGGCTACACACTGAGATTTTAGTCGAGCAAATTATTTCACATTTTAATTAGCAAAGACTAAACCTATTCCCCAGCCTTTAAAGAGGTCTTTCAACCTATAATCATTAACATTTTCTAAACTACATAAGGACTACTAACTACTAAATATAACAAATATCTTAACTTATACATTGTCAACATATGAACAAAAAAAACAAAAATATCAACACCCTGAAATTAAAAAAAAAACCCCTGCGTTTTTATTCTCATCAAATTTTACTGATGGATCCACCATTCTATGTCAGTCATTGTCATTTTCCATTCACTAAACAAAAATAGCTAACTCATCGGTGAAGTCACCAATTAGAATAGAAACGAGGGGATACTTTATCATCAAAAGTCATTAGTATACGAGGGTCAACCTGCCAAATTTCCAAGGATGATGCGATGCCAATAAAATCTGATGCCTGTATACATATAGTGAGTTCATAAAGTCCCGTATAAATTCATTATTTTGAAAATGGTAGAATTTTGGAAAAATCGCTCAGACACGTCAATTTTGTTTTTTTGTTTGAAATTTTTCGATATATTTTTTATTATACAGGGTGTCTCAAAAATAGCTTCGCTGGTATCAACTTGATTTTTTTAAATGGTACCCCCTGTATATTATGACATTTATGGATTCTGTGGAAAATTCTAGACATTTTTCATGCATCATGTCATATACCTATCTTCAACTATTTCGGAAATATAAACAGTTGAAAATTGACTTTTTTGCAACATTGACAGGCTATAAAACCTAAACGGTTAATTTTAGAGGAATACCGATTTGATTTTAATTCCTATCTTAGATTTTCATAAACCATTATTTGACACTAACGGAGATTAAATTTAACCGGAATTTTTAATCATGGATTAACTTCAAAGTTGGTGTCAAATGATAGTTTATCCTCGAGTTTATCAAATATTATTTTATGAAAAACTAAGACAAAAACGTATCATCGATTTTTTTGTAAAACCAACCGTTCAGATTTCACAGTCTGTCAAAGATGCAAAAAGTCAATTTTCAACTGTTATTATTTCCGAAACAGTTGAAGATAATGTATATGAAATTGTAGATGAAATATGTCTAGAATTTTCCGCAAAATCCAGAAATGTCATAATATACAGGGGGTACGATTTGAAAAAATAAAGTTGATACCAGCAAAACTATTTTTGAGACACCCTGTATGATAAAAAATATATCGAAAAATTTCAAACAAAAAAACAAAATTGACGTGTTCGAAAGATTTTTCAAAAATTCTACCGTTTTCAAAATAAGGAATTTATGCGGGACTTTATTAACTCACTGTATATTCACCTAGTTCTTGATAGTACCTATATGCTTTTCAGATATTATTGGCGTAGCATTATCCATGGAAATTTGACAGGTTGACTCTCGTATAATAATGACATTTAATGACAAAGTATTTTTTAAATGTCAGGGTTATAAAACAGAAAGCCGAGTTGCCAGAATGTTTAAAATATCTGAGTAGATTCAATTCCAAAATATTTTTCCAAATTAATTTTAAAAAAAAATGGGTACCTACTTTATTTTATTTACTTCTATACATCTATATTTAAACTATACCTACCCCAAATGTATCTGGTAGTTGAGCTTCAATTATTATTCCCTGAGGAACCTCTCTCTGGTTTGCTATTCTGGAAATAGCCGTAACATTTTATTATTTCCTATTTCCTTTATTTTCTCTTGAGAAATTATTTTGGGCATCTTGAATATGAAATAAATTTGACAATGTCGAATTTCGAAAAATGTCAATGGATTTTGCAGGTATGCAGAATAGTAAGGTACCGTTTATATATTGCACTATTAAAAAATATATTGACAAATCGTCGTTAATTTCACTAATGG